CAGCATTGGTGAGACCCCGAAGCGCTTAGGTGAGGCTCAGAAGCTCGGACTGGTACTGTGAACCTAAATGTCTGCCTGCCTTAGTCCATCAGGAGCACGTCGTGGCCTTCGAACATCTAATTCCATTGTGCGAATACTGAGCGACCTCTGGGTTATCACATTGTAAGATATGCACAACTAGATAATGCGGTGTTCCAAGGTATCTATATATTCATTACAAACAAAAATATCCTTCCCTGTTCCGATGGTGACCTCCTTAGATGGAATAAAGGCCAACGACATTGCCGGAAGAGAAGGCCAATCGTTGCTCCTCATCACCTAAACTGTCACCTGCCTTGGCTACTTATCGTAAGTCTGGGCGCGTGTCAACTTTCGACACTGATGGAGATTTCGGCTATGCGTGCTAGCCTAGTCCAACCGTTACCGACGGTCCTCCACACTGATAGCCGATTCAACCGTGAATGGCAACATAAGCCACTGATGAACGACGGACGTCCTTCTCACAACCGTACGCGCTACCTCTTATCATGAAAACTCATAGCAAAGCGTAGGCCAGAACGCACTCGCGCCAATAATTACAACGCCTCAACTGCAGGGGATAGCCTAAACCGGTGGCTAATGATGGGCCCGATTACTCATGACTGTAAGCGTTGCCTTTACTGATGGTACTTATCGTACTTACTGGGCCCGTTTCTCTGTTCCATGCTGTTTAAGAGGGCCCACCTGTGCATTATAACCTAAACCGAAGACGAACAACTGTCGCTCAACAGCATAACCGTTGCTCTACCTTGCCCGCGCTTGAAAATTATAAAACCCCCAGCCGCGAAATATTTTTAACATTTGGATGGATTATGGCTGGCGTGGGCGGGTATTTGGAGTCAAATCCGCCCTATTGAAGTACTGCAAAATAACTCCACGTTTCTTCTGCTTCCGATAGTTATACCCGGTAGAATTTTTGAAACATAGGTTCCGTCGTTCTCATTATAACACGCAACCAACCACACTCCTCTGCAATAGTGCCGTCAG